TGACACAAAAGTCAAATAAACATCATAATAAAAGGAAATTAAAGACCAAGGAAATATAGATTGGAAGGAAAAAAGTAAACCTGTCATGATTTGCAGATGACATGGTCTTGCATTTGGAAAATTCTAAGGAATCTACCAAACCAAATCAAACCAAACTATTAGAACTAATAAGCAAGTTGAGCAAAGTCACAGGATACAAGATAAACATATAAAAAATTAATCATATTACAGTATATTGATAATGAACAAACAATATGAAGTTAAGAAAATTATTCCATTCCTAATATCATCAAAAACATAAAATACTTAGGAGTAAATATGACAAAAGAAACCAAGACCTATATGGTAAGAATACACACTGCTGAAAAAATTAAAGTCAATCTAAATAAATAAAGCGATATCCTATATTCATAGATTATAAGACTAAATATTGTTAAGATGGCAATTCTTCTCAATTTGATTTATAGGTTAAACATAATCCTGTGAAAATATGTAGACTTTTTAAAAATAGAAATTGACAGTGTAATTCTAATCTTATATGGAAATACAAGGGCCTATAATAGTTAAAATAATTTTGAAAAGAAACAAAGTTGGAGGTATGCTAACTTATTTCAAAAATCACTATAAAGCCACAGCAATAAAAAATGTGGTATTTGCATAAGCATATACACATAAATTAGTGAAACACAACAGAGTTCAGAGATAATGTTAAGTGAAATAAGACAGGTACCTAAAGACAAATACCATATGATTTTACTTACATGTGGACAGATTTGAACTTACAGACGTAGAAAGTAGAATGGTGGTAACCAGGAGCTCATGTGGGATGTGGTGTGATTGGGGAGATCCTCACCATAGGGCCAATCACAACAGGAATAAACTTCAACATTTATGGTAAATTAAATTTTGACATAGCTGCCAAGGTAATTCAATGGAGAAATGACAGTCTTCAAAAATTGGTGCTGGAACCATTGGGTATCCATGTGTACAACAATGAATTTAGACCCTTATCTCACACATTATGCAAAAATTAACTCAGAATGGTCCTAGACCCAAATATAAGGGCTAACATTACAACACTTTAGAAGAAAACATAGGAGAAATTTTTGTGGCTTTGGGTGAGTCAGAGATTTCCTGTATATGACACCAAAATCAGGTTCCATAAGAGAAAATATTGATAAATTGGATTTTATAAAAATAATTTTTAAAAACTTGTTATTTAAAAGACAATATTAAGAAAAAGAAATTGGATAAAATATTTGCAAATCGTAAATATGATAAAAGACTTGTGTCCAGAATATATAAAGAACTTTATAACTTAATAATCAGATGAGAAGCAAATCTGATAAAAATGGGCAAGAGATTTGAGTAGGCATTTCATCAGAGAAGACATATAGATGGCAGATAAGCACATGAAAAGGTGTTCAACATAATTAGTCATTAGGGAAATGCAAATAAAAGCTACTTTGAGGTACCACCAAACACCTATTCAAATGGCTATTACAAAAGACTGAGACTAGGAAGTATGGCAAAGTATGTGGACTCTTTACACACTGATATACTGAGACTAGTAAGTATTGGAAGGGTATATGGGCTCCTTACAAGTTGCTGGCAGGAATGCACAATGGTACAGCCACATTGGGAAACAGTTTCCCTGTTTCTCAAAAACTTAAATATACGCTTTGCATATGACTTAACAATTATACTCCCAATTATCTACCCAAGGGAAATGAAAATGCAGATTCACACAGAGACATGCACATGAATGTTCATAGCAGCATTATTTATAATAGCTCAAGCTGGAAATAGTATGAACGTCCAGCAACTGGTGAAAAGATAAAATATGAAATATCCATACAATAAATTACTACTATGTATAAAAAGGGACTACTGATACTTGCAGCAGCATGGATGAACTTCAAAACATTATGCTAAGTGAAAGAAGACGGACACAAAAGACAACTTAGTAGAATACCATTTAAATGAATTTTCTAGAAAAGGCAAAGCTACACACAGAAAGCAGAGAAGTCTGTGGTTGGGACTGGAGTGGGAGCAGTTTTTGATTACACATGTGCAGAAACAAACTTTTTGAAGTGATGAAATTGTTCCAAAACTGGATTGTATTATTAGTTGCACAACTGTATAAATTACTAAAAATCACTGAACTGTATGCATATAATGGGTAGATATTATAATAGGTAAATTGTACTTTAATAAAACTTAAAATTCAGGTTACCTGGCAACCCTACATTTTGTTTGAAATAGAGGTGTAAGAGATAATGAAGGAGTGGCAGATACTGTGGTCAACCAAAACATGCAAGGACTGGACAGCAACTTCCTGTAGCAGATAATCAGCGACGAACTGGGGCCAGTGGTGTGGGGGTAAGAAGAATTTATGAAGATAATTGGAGGTAAAGAAAGTCATATTTATTAGAGCACTATGAAAATGTGTTGCAAGGGAAAAATGGGCAGGCCAGCAAGAGAGGAGCTGACTGCAAGGAGACGAAGGCTTGCTGGGGATGTTATAGAATGGTGCTTGTGCTGTGTGCTGAAGAGGGCTTTGTGCAGTACTGATAACACCGAGGTTGCAGTGAATTAGCTTGCATTTTTTTTTTTTTTAATCACTCGAGGGTCTGATGATAGCTGGGTGCAGGAAGATTGTGAGTTATTTGTGCAAGAAGGTTAATGTTCTGGACCACGAAGAAAGGCAGACTTATAGCTTATCTGCTTTATCTTTTTGCTTTCCCTCGGTCCCGCCATCCTGACTCCTTTTCCCTAATTAGAACCCCACACTCCCTTTGGATGGTATATGCGTTTTCCATTTCCCAGTTTCTATTACTCTCCTTTGGATCTTACACTTCTGAATTCTCTCTATTCATTTTGTTACCTAACTGATCGCTATAGGCATCTCTCCTTCATCCCAGAGCAGCAAATATCCCTTCCTTACCCTCTTTGTAGATGCAGGCTTAATAACAGGTCTCAAACCTTCCCAGAGATTATATATAAATCATGCACAATATAGGAGAACATTAAATCTTTTTATTCTCTCCCTTAGGGGTAGTGAGTGATTGATTTACAAATGGAAAGGATAGATTTAAACGTTTATGTAAAGTTGAAATGTCAAACATTTTGTTGGCATTTAGAGATATTATCTGAAAGAGCATTTTACAAATAAGGAAACTAAGGCTCAGAGGCTTCTGGTAATCTGTTCAAGTTCACATGGTTATCCAAGCTTCTTGCTCCAGAGGACATATTTTTATACTTTCAAAAAAAGAAAGAAAAATCAGGTTGTCATACACATTCTTAAAAACAAATTAATGGCACAGAAAAATGTTTTCCCTAGGCCTCATAAAGATTAAAGAGGCTTGTAGGGTTTTTTTTCTGTTTAGATTTGGCTAGATGTCTTTCTTGTTTTACTGGCGAATTAGAAGAAAGCTGGAAAAGCTCTGGAACAGCTGCTAAAATAATTACCCTACAGCATATTTCATTGTTTAATAACTAAGAAAAGTTGTTTCCCAACCTCAAAGTAATAATTAAACATTGATAAATTGCTTTTGTTTGGTATTTTGGCCTTATCTACAACCAAAGCTTCAGGAACCAAGACAGAAATGTTTAAATATTTATGTGTTACAATAAAACTTAATAGAAAACTTACATAAAATCTTAAATGATCATCTTTACTGCTATACCAGATTAGAGTATGCAGTCACTAAAACAGAGCGATTTAGGATTAAGGATGAAACATTCATTGTTCAACTTTGCATTAACCCAAAAAGTTGTGTTGTGGCTTTATGTCTCATGACCTTACTGTAGTTTGGAATGTGATGGTGAAGCTGTCCCTCAGACCATTTAGAATAAAGAAGACTGAGGCAATATTTCACTATAGGCATTGCAATGTCTATAGCTAAACCTGAAAATGGCATACCTGACTCATTTTTTTTTTGAGACAGATTTTTGCTCTGTTGCCCAGGCTGGAGTGCAGTGACATGATCTTGGCTCACTGGAACCTCCGCCTCCCAGGTTCAAGCAATTCTCCTGCCTCAGCCTCCAGAGTCTCTGGGGCTACAGGCATGTACCACCATGCCCTGCTAATTATTGTATTTTTAGTGGAGACGGGGTTTCATCATGTTGGCCAGGCTGGTCTCAGACACCTGACCTCAAGGGACCCACCCGCGTCAGCCTCCCAGAATGTTGGGATTACAGGCGTGAGCCACCGCGCCCGGCCTTGGCTCATTTTTCTTCCTCTGATTTTAGACTTCCAATTGGGTTTTTATAATTACCCATATAAGTCCCAACTGGCACAGATGAGGCATGAGCATTAGGTAGAGGCCACATCCTGGTGGTGTGTGTGCCAGGTCTATTCTGCAGATGTGCTACATTTTGTTTGGCTTTTAAATGTGCTACATTTTGTTTGTTTGAAGAAACTGTTACTCTGAATTTTGTAGACAACATTTTGTAACCTGGAGTATTCACACAAACATTTAAATTTCCTGCTTCTCTTGAAAAATCTGACCATCTGTCCACGCTGGGCACACAATCCTGTGGAACAGATGCTGCAACCTTTAACACGACACATGGTTCGCCTTTTGCAGTGTGTGTAGTGCTGCCTCAGTCAATATGGCTCCTGGCATATTGTGCTTTCAAAAAAAAAAAAAAAGAAAGAAAAACCAGGATGTCATAAAAAAAATCTTAAAAATAAACTAATGCCGCAGAAAAATGTTTTCCCCAGGCCCTAAGATGTTTGTGACTCTGCAGACTGCACACTGTATTTTCCAAATGTTAAGTCTTTAAAGTGGTTCGTTGCCTTGAGATGCAGACAATACACTTCTTCCACTTGTTTTGTCAGGTTCAAAACCACTTTGGATAGCGTCTCTGTTGAGTTGCTTGTAGAAGTTTTGACACTCATTTGACCAGTCTCAGTGGAGCAAATCTGTGTCCTTGAATCTGAGTTTTGGAAAGAGTCAAAGAAAAATTTGGAGCCAAGTTTGGGACAGAAAAATATGTGTGACTATGAAACAGTGAAAACCTGTTTCTCTTGGGTGGTTTGTGAGCTGACTCAAAGGTAACTTTTTTTTAAAAGTTCAATAATGCTTTGAGGGAAGGCTTTTACTTCTTCCAGATGTCAACTGCCCTTTCTACTAAGCTCTGGTAATATTGAAGCAGCTTTGTTGTCTGGGGTGACACCCGAGGTTCTTGGTCTCACGGCCACAGAGATCAAATACATGGACACACACAAAGGGTGACGTTTAGAGCAGAATTTTTAACGGGCAAAAGAAAGAGAATAGCTCTCTGCTACAGAGGGGTCCCGGAAAAATGGGTTGCCGGTACCTGGTGAAATGCAGGGGTTTTTATACATGAGCTAGTGAGGAGGTGGTGTCTGATCTATATAAAGAGTGAAAAACCGGTTAGGACCAGGTGTGCCACCTGCATAGGGCTCAAATCTCTGGCAGCCCTGGTCCCAATCTTCTACTATATAGGCAGGTAGCTACTCCATGTTGCTTATTTCCTTCCTACTGTGCATGTGCTAAAAAAGAGGGGAGGTGGAACCCCCATGGTGGACATGCCTGGCCCCCAGTAGCCCCTTCTGTCTGTGCCGCTGCCGGCGTCTCCCGTGCAAGCTTCCAGTTTACTTACCTATGTTTGCAGCTCAATCTTCCAAGTTGCTCTTTGTTAGAAAGGAAGTGATTTCTTGGGCTGCTTTTTGTTAGAAGGTAAGCTGTGCCGAGGGCTCTTTTGCTCACACTATATGCCTAAATAATTTCTTTCTCGCTCCTGTATCAATATCGTATGTGTGACTCTATTGTGCATATATGACTTAGGTTTTAATTTTTTTGTTCACAAGTTGGTTCCACCCCCCCCGCCCCCGCTTCCACCGACACTTGAGGAAAGATACATTTTAATTTATTTTTTTATATGGTATGCATAGTTAGAGGCCGAAAGATTGAGTTGAAGGATTCATTACTTGACGAATGAATGGATGGGTGGATGGATGAGTCAGTATAAATGAAGAGCATCCCAAGTCGACTATTTTAAAGGGAATAACATGCATTTTATATTTGTTACACATTCATTCTCATGTGTAAACATTTGTATGTATTCATGTATTCAAAATGTATTGAAAATTAATTGTTCCTTGGTCCCTGAAGTCAGTCCCGGGTATTGCAAAGTAGTTCGAAGTCACTGGTTTCCCTCTGTCTCACTTCACAAAACACTGGTGATTTTGCTCACCGACGAGCCAGAAAATGTACAAGTTCCAGAATCAAAGGTAAAACAAAACCCACCAAGAATCAGCTTACTGTTAGCGTCCTAGTTGAAAAATAAGGCTTATCAAAGTATTTCAGATTGCATTAACACTTTTGATATTGCTAGGTATCAGAGTCAACCTCAGGAGAGGGCAACACCAACTCCTGAAACCTTCAGTGAAGAAAGTGTAGAAAAATAAGCAAATATACATAAAAACAATAGCGAGAAAACTCCAGAAACCACATACAACCGTGGAAAACGAAATATCCCTTACACGTGTGTACAGTATATATTAAACCCAAGTATTTTAAGTGGACGATTTCTCTCTCATAGTACCGTAGGTAGTGGGGGACAGGACTCAGAGGGGGAGAAACAGAATGTCGCCTTCCTCCATGGTGCATTTGCATTTCCAGCCAGAAACTCACATGTCGACCCCAAGACTCCACTCTCTCCCGCCTTTGAGAAGCGGGACCGGTATCGGCGGCTGCATCCTTCTCCTCCTCCCCGCTCTATTTTGGGGCCCCATGATCTCATGCCCTCTGCAGACCACACGCTGCAATTCCAGTCCAGCCCGCGCCGTGAGGCCACGCAGGGTGATTCCTGCAAGTGTCGGGAGGGTGGCCGGGGCGCGGGGAGGGGACGGCTTGGGGGAAAGTTCAAGACACGCCCACGTAAGGGACCCAAAATAACCGACACGCAGAGTGCCCGAAATCAGACAGGAAGCCAAATAATCCGGGGCGTTGAGTCGCTTTACCCTGACTGCGAGAACCTGGTGCAGGGCGGGTAGCCAAGGATCTGACCGCGAGGGGCGGGCGCGGCGGGGC